CAGCACATTCTTGGTGTTTGGGTCATTAACATTGCATTGAGGTCAGATGAGAGTGTGTTCTGTCTGTCACGCTTTGATAAGTAAAGTAAAATGCTGATGGAGATCATTTAAGATCGTCTCTATGCTGCTGATTGCATGCTTGTGGCTCATAATCAGAATGATGCAAAGTAATTGTTAGACCAACTTGCCGAGGCTACATTTTGTGTCGTGGCAACTGTCAGCACTTTGGTCCTGCTGTTCTGCCTGGAGAATGCTTGCCTGCCACCTGTTGACGACTGACGCCGTGCTCGCCACTCAGTGGCCTGGATAACTTTGCTTCTGGCGTCCTTGCTTCCTACCCCCATACAACACCCTGGGAAAGGAGTATCTGCTAGTTTGCTGAAAGCAAGGGCTCTTTTTTGTGTGGTTGACAGAGTGCTACATGTTGCAGTTTCTTGTAAAAACCCACATGCGTGGTGCCCGCTTTGCATTCTTGCTTCGTCAGTGACTGGTTATGCGACCTCAGGTGGGTTGCTTGTCTTGAACCTTGTTTTCTTCATCTGAACAATGGGGCTAATAGAACTTATTTTACAGAGCGTTTGCGAGGATTAGAAATGACAGAAAAAATCTTGTGGGCACAAAATAGCCACTCAGTATTTGCTAGTAGCGAATGTTAAGGCATTCAGTGTGGTTACCCAGGATGATACTCCATGTTTATACAATGAGAAGCCAAGGGGCGCCTGGGTGGCTCTCTCCTTAGGCGTCTGCCTTTGGTCCTGGGATCGAGCCCCGCGTCGGGCTCCCTGCTCGGCGGGAAGCCTGCTTCTCCCTCTCCCACTCCCCCTGCTTGTGTTCCTGCTCTCGCTGTGTCTCTCTGTCAAATAAATAAATAAAATCTTTATTAAAAAAAATGAGAAGACAAAAATTTCCAAAGTCAGTAGTCCGAAAATATATTGTAAGTGTGGAATATATGGTGTCAGCCCAGTTTTCCTGGCTAGGTCATATTTTCCATAGGCACACCAGTGGACAGAGATGTTAGAATTTGAACCACAATTTTCCATGGTTCTGCAGGTCTGCTATACAGAATATGTACTGGGCCATCCCATGTACACCATCAGAAGATAGGAAGGACCCTTCGAAAGCAAATTTCATGAGGTGCATCCCCTAGCTTTGACTGCATAGAAGAGACATTGCAGCGCACACAACATGGCCTGACCATCTGGTTCTTTCTCATGGAGAAAGCATTGACAGCAAGACAGTTCAGCAAAGCAAAAGCTCCCTTCCTATAAGAAGGTCACTGTCAGATCTAGGGACAACTTAACTGGCTTTGACTTGTAACCAGCAAAAGAGATCTGGGAAGAGTAGCTCGGTCCATATTCTGTGATAGAAAGTCACTGGTGTGAGTTGCTGAGATGTTTCTCTGATTCTATCCAGTGCTAAATTTTTTTTTTTTAATATTTTATTTATTTATTTGAGACAGAGAGAGTGAGACAGAGAGAGCACATGAGAGGGGGGAGGGTCAGAGGGAGAAGCAGACTCCCTGCTGAGCAGGGAGCCCGATGCGGGACTCGATCCCGGGACTCCAGGATCATGACCTGAGCCGAAAGCAGTCGCTTAACCAACTGAGCCACCCAGGCGCCCTATCCAGTGCTAAAATTTAACAGCTGTGTTCTTACCTCCTAATGTCAACTCTTCCACGTGGTCAAAATAGAACAGTAGAAGTCTCTTCCAAGAGCATGACTCCTTCGCAGACTGTCACTTCCCCCCAAAATTGCACCAACTGGATGAGGGGTGAAGTTTTAGAGAACTTTTGTTGGAGGGTAGCTTGCAAGGGGGTCATCACCTGTCCATTCGTGGTTTCGCAAATCAAACTGTTAACGTTTCTCTCCTTTGTTTCTCCACTTTGGGTCCCTCCAGGATTTTCCGGCTGGGAGTGGATTTGGCATTTTTCTGATGCCACAGTCCTGTCCTGCCTTTCTCTGCTGCTCCCTGCATGTCCCCCACCTGCTGCCGGCTGGTCCGAGCGGTGTTGGCGATACTTAGAAAGGGTTCCTCATAACTGGACGAGGCATTAGCCCCACACTCTTTGCAGATTGTGGGGATACATTCACTCCCTCAGCCTCCCCCCACAAAAGTGGTATTTTCCCGAAATGTTGCTAGTCAGTCGCATTTCGAGGTATGGCACGATTTTCTCAATCGAGGACGAGGATGTGTCGTGCAGCTCAAGCAAAACTGTATCACATATGTTTTACCAAATCAACTATTCCCTTTGAGGAGGCAAGTAGATGAGAAATACTGAGGCTGCACAAACATTCCACCTCTTTGATGTTTCCTAAATATGGTCGATCCTGATTTTTTTTTAGGTTTTTTAACATTTATGTAATGCGATTATAATTTTGAAGGTTACTCAAGACTCTGCGGTTTTCAGTTTACCTTTCCATCGTGAAGTCACTTCACCGTGATCACGCTGAAAATAGGACACTCCCGTCATGTCACACTTAACGATTTCATAGCTGGAGCGTCGGCATCTCTATCCACCCTTAGCCCGAGGCTTTAAAATTTGGTCCTCTTCTGATATGTTGGAAACTCACCGAATATTGTCCTTTTTTGATAGTCCCTGTGGTGTCTAGTGTCGGTTTGTATTCTAAGGGACACCCACGCAAACCAAAACAGTTTTTTGTTGCTAAGATTTCTGATATTTATTACAGTTTGCCTTTCTCGATCTTGACAAAAATGTAAAAGAAAAAGAACCGTGTGCTACCACGTGTAGTCATTTCTCGTAAATGTGGGGGCATGTCGGTAGACTCTATAAATTCAGCAACTGTTTATTTAGTGGTTCATTCTTTCAATGAAAGAGTCAAGAATTAGGATGGAGGAGCACCTGGCTGGTTCAGTCGGTAGAGCAGGCGGCTCTTGATCTTGGGGTTGTGAGTTCAAACACCATGTTGGGTGTAGAGATTACTTAAAAAATAAAATCTTTTTTAAAAAAGAATGATGATGGGGGCGCCTGGGTGGCTCAGTTGGTTAAGCGACTGCCTTCGGCTCAGGTCATGATCCTGGAGTCCCTGGATCGAGTCCCGCATCGGGCTCCCTGCTCGGCAGGGAGTCTGCTTCTCCTTCTGACCCTCCTCCCTCTCATTCTCTCTGTCTCTCATTCTCTCTCTCAAATAAATAAATAAATCTTTAAAAAAAAAAAAGAATGATGATGGAGATGGATTTATTGCTATTAAAAGAGGTTTGTAGTATAACAAGTAAAATATGATCGGACTGCAAAACAGTATGAGTACTATCATAGTATGTTATGAATAAATTATAGGTATGTATATAATTTTATTTATTTAAGTATTTGTATAATAAACTCCGTGTACCTGACTGTAGGAGAGAGCGTAAAGCCAAATAAGCCAAAATGTCCATAGTGATTATTAGTGGGGCCTGCTGATTTGTTTTCTTTGGGTTTTGTCCTCATGTATATTATCTAATTACTCACAGTAAATGTTTTGCTTTGCTCTCATTCGACCCATCTAATTTTGAGGGTTTGGGCAAAAGAGAAGATATAATACAGGTACTCACATTTTGACAAGTTATGGAATTATAAAAACCTCGCCTGTGTCTTCTGGACGGATGCAGACCTAGAAACGTGTTGTGCCACGGTTTCTTTGCCCGAGTCTCTCCTACAGGCCAGGCACTGCACCGAGAGCATGACACGTGCTAGGAAGTGGGTATTCATATTCCCATGGGAGAAAGCGTTTTGAGAGTTTATACAACTCGCATCCCCCAGCTGATGTGCACCTGAGCTGAGATGCAGACTCGGGTCTGACTCTGAAATTAGCTTTTCTGATCTTGCTGGTTCTTACCGTAGACATCTTGCTGCCGTGAGGATGAAAAGGTTAATGTATGTGAGCGGATTCTAAAGTGTTGCTTTAAAAAGGAGGTGCTCAGAGCTTGTACTATCTTTTGCTCCTGCGTTGTGCCCCTGTAAGTGTTTGCAGTGAGGCTCTGAACTTCTCAGGAGGCGGAACCACAGGGTCTGAGTTGCCCTGCCATCCCCTAGCCCTGCCTGACAGTCTAGTAGGCAGGCTGCTCTCTGGGGCTGGGAGGGGGACCTTGCAGATTCTGAGACATGGGGTCTGGGAACTTGCAGCCCGTGGACATCCCGCGGAGGAGGCCGTCCCTGGCTGCCTGAGGGCACAGCACTCTCTTCCTCGTAGGGCAAGCAGGGGAAAAACAAGCGGTGGTCTTCTTAGAGCCCGCAGACTTCATCCCGAATGCTCTGGGATCGTGTGCGATTTGCCAGTCTCGGGAGCTGCACCGGCTCCGCCTCACATCCCCTCCTAAACCTGCAAAGCGTCTTTAAAACAGTCTCTGGAAATTTTTAAAAACTTGGATCTTGAGCTCAGTTCCTTATGTGATGTAGATTACACAATCTGTTGCTGTCACCCCCTTATCTCTCTTTGTCTTTCAGGCTTCCGCTCCCAACATTCACATCAGCTCGGTTCTTTCCCACACTTGATCCCAAACACCGTGGCTTCCTTACGGGATTACTCAGTCGGTGCCCCTCTGCCAAGTCCACATCCCACCCCCCCCCCCGAGCCCATTACAGATCCCTGTGGGGTCACAGGCTTCAGCGGGGGGTGCGTGGGGCTGTGTGTGCACCATTTTGGGGTGGGGAAGGTGTGCAGGGCAAGGGCCCAGGGCCGTCACAGCGTATGCTGGTTACTTAAGACATCCTCAGTTAGCCCCACAGTGGGGCTGCAGACATAGATGAAAAGATCCATCTGATAAATGATTTCCCAGGCACTACCCTAGGCCCTCCTTTGTCACGAGGTTCTCATTTTGTGATGAAGGAATCATGCACAGAATTACTTTCTACATATTAAATGTTCAAAGCTCTGTTTTCAAAATTCACGTAGTCGGCCAAGCAATATGTATCTCCACCATCCATCAGGCATCGACTGTGCACCTATTAAGTGTCAAAGCGCCGGGATTTCATGTTGTTTATTTAAAATCTCTTTCTCTTCCAGTTTTCCAAAGAAATTAGTCCTTTTTCTGGGTGAAACGAAACCAGTCTGCTGTTTTCATAGGGTGAGTGATCCTTTGACCCTTTTATATATTTTATATATCACTTTATCTTTTTATATATATTTTATTTTATAGAAAATATATTTTATATTTTTTCACATCAAAATTTTATCCAGTTCTCATGATGCTCCAGGAAAAGTGCTTGATAGCGTGCGTTCTCTAGAAGCTTTCTCCTGCTTGGCACCCAAGTGTTCTTTCTACTCATCACATCTCTTCCCTTCAGAAGGGAAGGTTTCACTCTTGTATTTTTCTGCCGTTTCTTTTCGCTGTACACATGTTTTGCCCCTTATGAATTATTACCATTGTTGCTTTTACCTTGTCCAGCTTGCAGAGGGGAAGAGGGAGGACGTTTCTCTTTTTCTCAGTGACGGATGCACAGAAATACGGCCGTGGGCAAGGAGAAACCATCCGTTTTGTTCATATGACACACTGTCTCGTGAATATCATGACAGAGAGTAATAGGATGTGAACACAAGGTGGGACTTTAGAGCCCATCTGGCAAAGCCCTCTGCACAGGCCCCAGAGGGCCTCCCGTTCCCCATCTAGGGGCTTCTCAGATAGCAGCAGAGTGGGGCTGTTGAGAGGCACTTTGACTTCCAGACGTGTGGTGGTCTCCCCTGCTTCCCCCCACCCCGACCCACCCTGCACAGAGCTGTCTTTCGAGTCCCTTTTCTTCTTCTTCTTCTTTTTTTTTTTTTTAAGGGTCAGATGGTAAAGTCTGTGCTTTGGATTGGATCTGAGCCCACTTTTTTTTTTTTTAATGTTTTATTTATTTATTCATGAGAGTCAGAGAGAGAGAGAGAGAAGCAGGCTCCCCGCCTAGCAGGGAGCCCGATGTGGGACTTGATCCCAGGACCCTGGGATCATGACCTGAGCTGAAGGCAGACGCTTAACCATCTGAGCCACCCAGTCGCCCGAGTCCCTTTTCTTTCTGAGGATGCGGAGCCGTAGGAGGTTGGACCTGATAACATCCCTCCAAGACATGCATCAGGAGGGATGCTGTTTAACTAGTTAACTTTTCAGTAATCGTACTTGGCTACTACCAAGACGGGTGGGTGGAGTGGACGGACCCAGAACACTTCTGCTACAGACCTCACCTGAGAGGGCGTATTTTCCTTGGTGCTTCCCAAAGCGCTGCATTTGCAAAGTGCCATGTCACGTGCCCGGACGGGGGTGGTGCATCTGTTTTGCAGCTAGAAAGTGAGGCGCACCTGCAGGATCTGACCAGCTGCAGACCCGCACGCCCCCACTCTGGACCGCGTGCACCTGCAGAATAGTGCCTACCAGCTTCCATATCGGGCAGGGCAGATTTGACTCGCGGTCACAGAGGTTCACGGAGAAGCATTTCTTGATTAAAAAAAAAAAAAAAGTACTGTTTTTTACATGAGAGTGCAGTTGTGGAGTAAGACGGTGGGAGATGTGAGACGCTGCTCGTCCCCTGGAGTCCTAGAAGGCCGGCTGATCTGCCGCTTTTCCAAGGATGGCTATGCAAGAGCAGGCTCTGGATCGCGTTCATTTCGTTTGGTGAGCTAGGTGCACTCATGTCCAAAACATTTCATCTCACCCGGGGACGGTCTAAGTATAGTCTTCAGAGCCTGTGTCTACTATTTTATCCCACTTGTCAACTTAATCACTGCAACTTAATGAACGGGGGCTTCTTTTCTGCCCTAACTGGAATCATTGTTAAGGAGCCTGATGGCTTCTGATCGGGGGACAGAGATAGTCTGCTTTCCACCGGTGTCCGGAACGGGATTTGGAACATGGATTGCTAATTCACTGGCGATCGACTGCTTCCTACTTTAATACTGATGCTCCTGTCCCCAGATGCGTGATGTGTGTGAAGGTGCATTCATTAGAGGTCTCAACTTCAGGGTTTCCGTTTTATCATCTTACCCAAGAAAAACCCAGCAGGTTTATCCCCAGAGCACACCACACAGTATGAAGTGGGACATGAGATCTCCTGCTCTCTGGGAACCTCAGGGTCTCCGTGGACTCAAGAGCTGGATTAAGTCTAAAATAAAGGACAATTTAGGGCCTCTGCGAAGTTGGGGGAGGGCCAGATCCCATGCCTGCTTTGTACTATTCACTTAGTAAAGAAGAAACTGCCAGAGAGGACTGAAGCGAGAGAGGTAAAGCCGGGGCCACCTGAATGGCCACCACTTGGGGGCCACTTTGGTTCCTGCTGGGGTGATGAGTAGTTTGAAGTTGACAGGAGGCACCAAATCATTACCCCAAAATATCCCAGGCCGTTCGCTTTTACCAGGGAAACGAAATGCAAAGGGAAGCCACATTTTTCTTACTTAAAAAGCCGCTCGGAGGCTGGTCCCCACTCTCTGGGTTCATACCACAGAGGCCCACATGCCCCACGTGCCCCACATAGGTACGCCTTGTGGAACTTGAGTGGCTGGGCTCCATTTCATGGTCTGCGGGGGGCTGGACCCTGGAACAATCCCGCTGTTGTTTCTGAGCTGGAGCTGCGCTCCCGCTCGATGGTATCCCTTTAAGGGAAATCTAGGGAAACGCTCCTGCCAGTGATGTGATTTTCTTTGCTAGAGGCCAAGTCGCCGTGGCATGTATTGGTTCCATAGCAACATGTCTGTGCGGCCAGAAAAAATATAATGACTGCGGCAGCCGGTATATCCCTGGCAGGAGGAGCCCAGCCCACATGCCCCTTTGCATTTCCCCCTTGACCCTGGCCGGCCTTAGCCCTCCTTCAGAGAGAGAGAGGACGTCGTGAACGCTTGCCCCTGCCCCCCCATCCAGCTCGGGACTTGACCAGGGAGAAGACAACGTGTGTAGTAGAATTCTGCAGGCCCCATCGTGCCACCAGAGCTTCGTCAAGCAAAGTCGGTAGTCTGTGCCTCTCGTCAGCCCCGTGGCAAAGCAGCACCGTGGGTGGACCGTGTCCTGTGCTTTGCAGTTGCCGACAGCTTCTGGCTGGAAAGTGGGCAGCCACACGGAGCCGTGGGAGATCTTGGCAAACAGGGTACCCATTCGGTGTGCTACTCGGATTTAGGAGACACTTCCTGGGGTGGAACGCGATGCCCGGATGCCAGGTACAGTAGGACTGCACAAAGACATGCAGTACGCAGGGCTTGTTTTCTAGAAGCTTCTACCAGAGGTGCAGGCTCTGATTCCAGTTTCTCCAGCGTGTGTAGGTGGGGTTGTAACGTGTCCCTGATGTTGTCCTATCTCTACGCTCCTCCATGAAACCACAGTAATCACTCTTGATTTCAACAGATGCTCCTCTCCCCCTGAACTCTGGGAGCATTTTTAAAAGTCTCTACCATCTATCTGACATGCGTCTGGTGTTTCCTCTTTTGCTACATAAGGCTTTGGGGGGTCTGAGCAGTCTTTCTGGATAGAAGGTAAGGCATTCAAGGTCAGGGACCATTTATCTTATTCTTGGTCTTTTTTTTAATTTCCCTGATGCTCAGAACTGAGCCCTGTAGACAGTAACCAGTAACCAAATACCTATATTTCTCCCCAATAACGTTAGAGTCCCATCCTGTCTCATAAGGAAATTGTGAAGCAAATGTGTTTATGTATTGAGAATGCTTTTAAATTCTTCAAAGATAAATTCAAGCAATTCTTTTCCTAGCATGGTTAAAAAAAAAAAACCCTGCAGATATGAAATCAAAAGCTAAGAATGTCTGAAGACTTCACATTTTTTCATCTTCGTTCCTACCGACGGTGACCTGTGGACTCTAGGGTTTGATGCTGGTGCAGAAATCATCCCATTCCTTGTCCCATCCCCCGATATTTGTTGCTTCTGTTGAATTTGCCTTATTATACCATTCGGGCCAGACTTCTCAGGTACCCCCCTAGCAATGTCTTTGGAGCTGTTAAGTAAAAGATTTGAAAGATTTTTTTCATTAAGGCAACAGGCTTGATAGATTAGGATAGTGGTTCCTAATTTAGTTTTGAGGTCTGTTGAGGGAGGGAAAGTTTTTATCGTATAAAACTTCTATCTTAATAATAAGAGTTCTCTTCCCTTCCCAAGTTCTGAGACAGCTGAGAACTAAGACAAGCGTAATAAGGCAGATGGAAGCCAAAATGCATGTATGTGAGCTGAGTTAGAAGGTGTATCTTAGGTTGAGAGCCCAAAATGGGCGTCTCACTCCCTCGTCTCCAGTCTGGGTCTGGAACAGTCCACTTGCAGGGACATTTGGAGTCTGTGGGCCACTGTCTATGTGAGGAAGGAAGGAAAACACACTCAAAATTCTAAGTCTACTCAGTGGGAGGAGGTTCAGGGAAAGTCCTCAGCATGGAAAACAGAGGTGGGGGATGGTGTTCCCTCTGGCTCTGCTCACACCTCTCCTTGCTCGACTCAGTACTCGGGCAAATGACTCCCATATATTTGTTTATTGGGTTTATTGTTCGTCTCTTCTATTAGAATGTTAGCTCAGTGAAAGCAAAAACCTCATCGGTATCGTTGACTGTTGTATCCCAGCACTTAACGCTGTGCCCGGTACATAGGAAGCATTTGATACATATTTGTTAACTGATGTACGGGTTTTATGCCCCTTCTCACACGCCTTAAGTGCCTGGACGTCCTCGTGCCCTCTCTTGCCTGGCAAATCCCTACTCGTAACATAAGACTTGACTGAGCTATCGTGCTCCCTGCAGAGCCTTTCCTGGCTTCCCTTCTTCCGAGGGGAAGGAGCACCTTCTTGTTTGTAACTCACCAGTTGTGAGTAGTTGCACACGTGTGTGTGTGAGCGTGTGTCCGTGTGTCTGTGTATGTCTGCATCTGCTGTGTATGTGCATTTGTGTGTTCTTTCTCTGTCTGGCTCGGGCACACTTCAGTTCACTTACTTGCTTGTGTATTCATCCCCCTTACTACGTTGGAAACTCCTGGGGACCTGGACAACCTCTTATTCTCATTCATTCTTGTTTCTCTGATCTCTGCCACGTAGTAGGTGCTCAGTAAATGATAATACTAGCATTCAGAATATGGACAGCATGCCAGGAACTGCTGTATCTTGTACTTAAAACCACTT